TTTTTTCTTTCGTGTACCTTGGCAACGCTACTTCTATTTTTGCTTCGTTTATTTTAGTAATATTCTTAGTGCTTGTAATCACCTATTGTTTTACATACTTATCTTGTTTTTTTTGCTATCGAAACATGGTTATGCTGGATCTTCTATCATGATTATCGTAAGAACGCGTAACCTCGTGCGTACTATTGCTCAATCTATTCAACAAATTTAGAAATACGAATACAAGGTGTCTACGAGTACATACAAGAAAGTGGCTGATCGCGGGTATCAATAAAGGTATAGCTCTGTAGGTATATAGTGACTGGTATAATATGGGGGTGTATAGTTATAATGTAATTTAAAAAAATGGCAGCAGTGGATCCATGAACCTGCATGACCTGTCTATCTATCATGTTCGGACTCGGAATCCAAGACTTGCCAGTTCGCGCTTGCGGCCTTTGTAGTCGTGGCCTTCACGGGCATGAAATTCGTCACTCTTTCTTATTAACTCATCATCGGCTTGGGTCGACAACTGCACACTGCGAAGCTGATGCTCGATGTAAGCAAGTTGGCCATCTTGTCGGAATTGTTCAAGAGACGGAGGTTGATGGTGCAATATCTCCCGTACTCTGTCCGTGAATCTGATATAGCGCTGAAAGTTGATCAAAGGTCGTCCGTCCACGGTGATAACCGTTGGGTTTTGGTGTAATACCGAATGTAGCTCGTGTAAGTGAACCGCTGTATAACACATGACATCAGCCGCATTTCACCTTCAGAAAAAGAGAGCATACTCACGTAGCCAAGGGATGCACGTATTCGCATAATCAGGATCCACTGGTCTTTCAAGCGCTCTTCTATATGCACGATGGTTTGAAGAGGGGTCAACTAGGTCGTTGAGTTCGTCCAATTTTCGCCGAAGGTAAGGAGAAAGTCCATCCCTCGTGAGCTTCAACCGCTCGATTGGCGTGGAATGTAATGCAATGGCGATGGCTGTGAGTGATGCAAAGTTTCGGAGCCTCAAACATTCCTGCGTCGTTGTGAGCCGCATGAATGTATAATTGCATTTCATCACATACCAGTGCGGTGTTAATGAAGAAGCTCAGCACTTGTGTGCGATTCTCCACTTCCTCGTAGTGAAGAACGGATTGCTTTACCCAAAGAACGATCTTATTATTCGTTAGGTAAGCAGCCTCCACATTGTTGGGAATAGTAAGCCTCCTAAGATGCGCAATATAATCGGATGGAAGGATATTTTTGTATTTATCTCCCTCCAAGAGTGTCAAACCAATGGCAAGGCCATGCGGGTGCATCTGAGAAGCAGAAGGAACTCTTCTCCCAGGCGATAACGCGAGTGGGGAATTCAGCAGATCTTGTGCCGGCTAAGGCATTTCATCAATGACACGATCGTCAACTGCCTGAAAACAACAGACATACCCTGTCCTTGATCAGCTGAAAGAGGTCTCTTGCTTTATCGACCATCGTAGCAGACGTTTTCATGCGGATAGCGCTCTCGCAGAAATTTCTCATTTGCCAGAGAAGTTGCTGGTCAACTTGGAGGCGTCGGCTTTTTAGCCAATGCATTAGAACCATGAATATGCTAAAATAATATTAGGTTGATGGCCATGCAGAGGTATTGGCGACTAACTTGTATTGTATTGCTACCCGACCCTCCGCATGAATCGAGACGTTCACCTCTGCTTCGTGAAATCGACGAGCTAGTATAGCAAACAAATCTTCGGGGGTAGTGAAGTCTACACAAGCGGTCAACATGACATCTCTGTACTCGATGTCGCGATTAACATCTGAAATAAGCGAGAATATTTAATACCGAAGCATCGAAATTAATCACAATACATACTAAAGTTATTAATCAGTCTTTCCACTAATCCTTCTAAAGTTCCCGAAGCAACTGATCCAGAATGGGTGAGATTAACAATCGGTTTTGGATCTGTAACTGCTTCACGCAGTGAGGCAGACATGTGTACGCCAGAATCATATGACACGAAGCTTCTGACCCCTGAAGGAGAACCGCCAGAAGGTGTTCTCTGATGACGGTTTATTGACGGAGGCGATGAAGATCCCAGGTGTGATAAATCTAGTCTAGGAGGTCCAGAGTTATAACGATTGTTCTCTGTATTAGCGTATTCTCTATCCCAGCGAGATTCGATGATGATAGCTAGATCACCATTTGATGGGTGACGTTGTGTCCTTTCAAATGTTTGGAGGGGCCCTTGGGGACCAGTAACAGACAGCGGAGATATAGAACCAGAGGACTCAGTACTTCTTTTGCTTTCAGAAGTTGATGGCCGACGGATAGAAAACATGGAGCGATGCGGCCTTGATGTTGTCAGTCGGTCACCTTGGTAAGAAGTAGAAATTCAGAACATGTTATGAGAGTTGAGTTGGTTCATGGCTTACCTGAATATGTAGATATTTCCTGTATTTCGAACAATTTCCGCCTAACCTCTGCCACTGATGGCCTAGATTCTGGTTTCTTGTGCCAACATTTTTTCATCAGATTCCACATATCATCAGAGAGTCCTTGCGCTGTCGCTTCTCGTCCTGGACGGTCAGGTATTTTACCATGGTCGAGTTCACGTTGGACTGCAATGTCCCGAGTAATCTTCGAAAACGGCTGTTCGCCGGTTACAAGCTCCAGACATACCATACCGAAGCTCCACACATCACAGTGAGTCGATAGTGCAGCATTCTTCAGCAATAGTTCAGGTGCGATCCACCGTGGATTGATACCTGGGGAAGATGTCATACCCTGACCACACTGCATAAGGTAGTCAATTTTAATGATGAATGCTGAAAAGAAGACAAAGAATTACACGGACCTCTTCCAGAAGTTTAGATAAACCAAAATCAGAAAGCCTAGCAATACCAGCCTTCGAGATAAGCACATTGGCCTTGACAAAAAGAAGTCAGTCTTAGTATGGCGGTCAGCATTGCTTGAAATACATACACCGCGGAGATCTCCATGAACAATGTCATTGTTGTGAAGATACTCCAGCCCTTTTTTTTTTTTTTGGCCGTAATTAGGGATGTATTATGTATAGTTAGATGATGGCATTACCTGCTGCAACTTCGCCCAAGATCTTCAGCCGTTGGGCTGGAGTGCACTTCAATACATATTTAATCGCCGTGTCGTTATCCATCCAAGGGCTGACCTGAGAAAAGCTATTTTATATATTAATAAAACCAATGACAATAAAAGCACCTACTGAATAAAGGTCTTTTTCAATATAAGCAATTCCGTATAGTGGCACCACATTTGGATGATTGAGCTTCCTCCAGATTGACACTTCGCGTTGGAATCGCTGTAGAATAGCATATAAGTAATATTGAATAGCATCTGCGGCTTCTACCAACTTTTTGGACATCTGGATTGTCAGTGAATGTGCGTGGAAGACGGAGCGCGACCTAGAATATAGATGTAGTTATTTAGAAGTTTGTTGCGCTGTTATACTGGAATACAAACCTGTTCCATATCGAGCCATTTTCCTGCACCAAACTTAATTCAGAGCACAGATAATAACCATAGGCACTGACCTGCATAGACATCATTAAATGTCCCCCTGGCGACTACATAACTGCTCGTTCGTATAACCTGCCCCGTTACTATCCAGAAGATATTAATATGTTATTGACCTGGGGAGCACTCTTAGCTCACAGTCAGTCAAAGGAGGCATCTTGGATGTCTTTTGGTGTAAAAGCCAAAGGCTCTCTTTGAAATCCTGCTCTTGATTGGGTTGCAGATTGGGATCCATGAGTTCCTGCAAAGACTTCAGTCCCGCGAGCTTCTTGCAGGAGTGAATAGGATATACAGACAGTTTGCAAGCCTTCCATGATTTCTTCTAGGGGACGTGACTCAGAAGACGACATATTCACCAGTGTTTTCATGTCTTCCGTGCTCTTGACAATCTTCTGTAAAAGATCTCGAATTTCCTCTTTATCGCGCTCTTGGGTTGCTCGGGAGCCGATCTGATTCCTGGCGAGTTCCATATGCATGTGTATCTGACACGAAAAGCATTTAAGTGCAGTACATAGAGTCATAGACAGATAAATTACTTGAAACTGCATCATTGCACCATCAATATCTCGATGTAGACTGTCAATACCATCCTTGATTTCTCGTTGTTGAAGAAAGCTTTTGAGTCTATTCAAGTTGGCCCATTCATTGACCTTGCGATCTACACGTCGTATAACACTGTAAACAGCACTTGGTTAGACAGGTATTCGTCGATAGCAACTCAGAGCATAGTCACTTACGCAGTAATTTCGTCCGCACGTTCGATCGCCTTAGTACCTTCTAGACCAACAGAGCTATCGCAAAACGCATTCATTAAGTTTACACAGCGTCCACTTAGATCTCTGCATTGTTGCTGTGGGTGGATATTCAAGCATTTATTAGTGAATAGAATACATTACAAAATAGTTCTACCCACTAACCTTGTAGACCTTGATGTTCTCAATGGTAGTATAAGTCGTAGTCACTGGCGAGTACAAGGTCAGCCATGGTGTTGCTACCAGTATTGAAGACATACAGATGGAAACACCAAAATCTAGGCCCGGGATGCCGCTGGCCTTGACCACCAAGTCCTTTAGGGAGATGCTCATGGGGGAGGAGGATCTAGTTGGAGGAGAAAAGATAGGTAGAGCATAGCGCTGGGAACCTCAGTCAACAGCGTCAGCTGCTGAAAGCGTCACACTGCGGGGGCAGCGGGGCAGTTAAGGCACCAATCAGGTACCAATGGTGCTCAGATGCAGTGCCAGAATCAGTTAGGGATCTATCAAAGCACATTGACAATCAAGCGGCTAATGAGAAGTGACAGTGATAATATTCATATTGACTCAAGGATTCAGTTGAAAATAGACACGTATTGAATAGGTAGATGGCCGTCGTAGGCGTTTACTGACGTCGGCACGAGCATGTAATGGCAATGCAAAGGCGCAATATTGACACATGTCCAGTGGCATCCTATATATAATAGTCAAAGGCTCGCTATGCTTCCATCGGTAGCGTGGCCGAGTTGGTCTAAGGCGTTGGATTTAAGATCTCTTGATTCCCAATGGGCGCAAGTCCGCGCGAGTTCGAACCTCGCCGCTACCAGCGTATCCTTTTGTTTTCTATAATCATGGAAATATTCAAGAAAAATGATGTATTTCGGAAGATTTATATTTCCTGTTACTCACACTGGTCCCAGCCAGCTTTGAAGCTATAATTTGTCTATCTGTTGACGAGAATATAAGCCTTTCTTCAAAACAATCTATGTAACTGAATGATCCATGTGGCGTGTGTCGAGACGATATAAGTAACCGCATATATGTGTAGTACAGTGGTACAAGTTTCATGTATGTTATAATCCAGCTCATGGTATCCATTCCTAGTCAGAATCCTCTTAGAAAATCTGTTAATGACGGTGATTAGGCAGTTGTTGGTACAGGAAAAGTATAGCATCACTTACACCACCAATATGATCTTCTCCACCTGGCCCCTGGCGCACTCTACAAACGGATTTAGCTGGTGTTATCAAAAGAATAATATAATGGGCTCACCTGCGAGTTGGCTTGAATTCTTCTGGGGTCTCTTCCGGATCCCAAAGGCTGGACATGCTGCTGTTGCCTCCTGGATTCGTCCGCACCCGCCTGAGCTCTGTAAGCCTATGTGCATCTACAACTACAAAGGCACCGACCTGCTAGGTTTGACACTCGAAGAGAAGTTGATTCCGCTTTCATCTGGCTCCTGAGTCGATGTCGCAGTATTTAAAGACGCCACCTGGCGGGTCATGATATGTAAGAACCTAGTAGTAGAAAATGACAAAGGTAACATGCAGAGGTATTGTGGGGCTTGGGAGGAGCGGTAGAAAGAGCATCGTCCTCATCTTCGTGTCCAAAGAGTTCCGTATGCGGACCACCTGGAACTGTACGAACACGGCGGGTGGGCTTGAATGCGGTGGAGCTTAAGGATTCTGCCAACTTTATGAATGGACTGAAAATAAATATCTATGTGCATCACCAACCATTCACAGCTGCAGGAGCCGCTGAAGAATCTGCTGCCGCGGTCTCTACTTTGGATGATAATTTCCCGAATTGGGCGTATCCTGCAAGTGATGAACTTCGCGGTTCGGCGAGTTACCAGGAATTAAATTCTCACTCGGAAGTTTCGCGATGTTGGTGAAGTTGGGGTCAACGGTAGTACCCGTATACCTGGGAGTGGCCGCTCGATCAGCCACTATATGTGAATAGGCGCGTAGATGCCAACTTCAAGAACTCGACCAAAGAACGCTTTGTGAAAACAATGTTGGTGTTGTCCCAATCGAGCATGCCTAACGCAAAAGAATGGTTAGTGGATGTGCACGAATTCGAAGGAGTAGCTCCTGACCAAGGTTGGCTGGCCAATCTTTCTCAACGGATAGGTCGATCGTGGATGGGGTGAAGCTATATTCAAAGGTTGGTTAGTGCAAACGATGAATGAGAAGCTATGCGCACGTAGATGTCATGTTGAGAATTGAACACGGTGGAGGTATATGTGGGCAAGAAACAGAAGGCCGTACTGGTTGAAGAAAGATTAAGAATGGTTCAGTTCAACTTGAGCTGTAGTCTTGTAGTAGATGCCGTTCACGTTGATTGCGGTCGTTAGGCAACACGCTCAGCCAAATCCAGCAGCCCTAATCATGGGACCGTGCTAAATCCGACATTACTTCCCCAAATGGACTGATGGATTACGTAAGCAAATAGACGCGTCGTCTGTACCGCGACCACAAAATTATTATAACAATTGAAAATTTGAATCTTCTCTTTACTATCCATCATGTCGCAGTCTCCGATCTTTGTTATGAGTCCGTCTCTATCTCTCTCTAATTATAGAAATGCTTTTTACTAACCATTCGGAACAGATACAGCGCCTGAAAGGCAGTCAGGTCGCAAAGCTCAAATTTCGAATATTACCGCAGCAAAAGTCAGTTCATGCATGTTACATCGCCATTCGCAATATGATTCTAATTCATGTGGATAGACAGTTGCCGATGTCATTAGGACATGTCTGGGTCCCAAGGCCATGCTCAAAATGATTTTAGATCCAATGGGAGGCATTTTGTGAGTGATTACGGAGCTCATGATGGCTTGTGCGCGCACTGATCACAATCGTCTGCGAGACTGACAAACGACGGCAATGCCATTCTACGCGAGATTGACGTCGCGCACCCGGCGGCAAAGAACATGATCGAGCTCAGTAGGACCCAGGACGAGGAATGTGGAGATGGAACAACCAGCGTTATCATCCTTGGTATGCCGCATCTATCCTCTGTTCAATAACCAGAATATCCCATTCTAAAGTCGTATCTAGCCGGTGAAATTCTTGCACAATCCCTCTCTCAACTCGAACGGGACATCCACCCAGTAGTAATCATTTCTGCATACAACAAAGCACTCAAAGAGGCGTTGGAAATCATCAAGCGCATCTCCATTCCCATAGATGTTTCCAACGACGCTGAGATGCTGTCACTCATCAAAACCTCCATCGGAACCAAGTTCGTTGTCCGTTGGTCAGATTTGATGTGCCGATTGGCGTTGCAAGCCGTACGCACTGTCGCCTCTGACGATGCCGGCCTCAAGACGGTTGACATTAAGCGTTATGCGCGTGTAGAGAAGGTGCCGGGAGGAGAGATTGAAGATAGCAGGGTACTGCGTGGTGTGATGCTCAACAAAGATGTTACTCATCCTAACATGCGACGAAGGATCGCAAACCCTAGGATTGTTTTGTTAGATTGCCCGTTGGAGTACAAGAAGGGAGAGAGTCAGACGAACATGGAGTTTTCACGCGAGGGGGATTGGGCACGCGCTCAAGATATCGAGGAGGAGCAAGTGAAGGCACTTTGCATGAAGTTGATGGAGTTCAAGCCTGATCTTGTGATCACGGAGAAGGGTGTTTCTGGTTCGTTCGCTTTCACAATCCATCATTTCCTTGTGGCTTTGGCACATATTTGCTTCCTATTCTCTTCTCTTATGTACTGTCGCTGAAAACTACCTTTTCCCCTTAGACATCGCACAGCACATCTTCTCTCAGCACAATGTGTCGGCTCTTCGACGCGTACGCAAGTCGGATAACAATCGTATTGCACTAGCTACGGGTGCAACGATTGTTAATCGTGTTGAAGACATGCGTGAGGCCGATGTTGGAGTCCAGTGTGGACTCTTCAATGTCGAAAAAATGGGCGATGAGTGAGTGTGATCTTCATTTACATATTCCGTCATTATAGTGCTTTTACTTTTTCTTGCTTTTCCGTACTAACCATCCTCACTCGCAGATATTTCACTTTCCTCACTGAGTGCAGCAACCCCAAAGCATGCACAATTCTTCTCCGTGGACCTTCGAAGGATATTCTAAACGAGATTGACCGTAATCTTGCGGACGCTATGTCTGTCGCACGCAATGCCGTCTTTAACCCCCTCCTTGCGCCAGGCGGAGGTGCCACTGAGATGGCGATCAGTGTTGGGTTACATACAAAGGCCCGCAGCATCGTTGGTGTCGAAGGATGGCCATTTAGAGCTGTGGCGGACGCAATGGAGGTGATTCCTCGGACTTTGGTGCAGAATAGCGGAGGAAACGCAATTAGGGTGTTGACGGAACTTCGGGTGAGTGATTTTATATGTGAAATCAGAGGAACACACTCATATGTCTATCATATGCGTAGGCTAAACATGCGAATGGTGAGAATTCCTGGGGTGTCAATGGCGACACGGGGAAGATCGTGGACATGAAAGAGTATGGACTGTATGAATCTGCTAGTGTTAAGGTAAGTTTCTGTTTAGTCACTTCGTCCATCCTCTAAGCAAGATTTTGTCCATAGATTCAAACACTCAAAACCGCCATCGAGGTTTGTCTCTCTTGTTCTTCCTAATTTTCTTCCTTACACTAATTATCCGCTGTCAGGCTGCACGCATGCTCCTCCGTGTCGACGATGTTGTTCAAGCTGTTCGCAAGGAGCGGGATCAGGGTCAACAGGGCCCAGGACCCGATGATATGCCTGAGCAGTAGACGCCATGAACTCAATCGTAGAAGAAACAATGATAAGACTTCTGCATCTGGCTATCTTAGTACTAGAGAGAAAGAAAAGTAATATATATATACATTTGAACGTATATAGAACGGTGAATGAACTAGCAGTACTTAATTGGTCTTTTGCCAATCCCATACAGCTTGAAAGTCCGATTTTGATTTCGTCTGTGACGCACACCTCTCACGAAAGTCACGAGCCGTGACCTCACTGCGGCCAGCAACTCAGTGTGTAGCAACTTGCAAGCTCTTCGTGAAGCTCAACGTTAAGCTTCGAAATTGCTCTCCACGGAGAGCTGAAATACCTGATCGACAGATCTTACCTAAGCATTGAGCTTTCCGAATGCTTCCACGTATTTCGACTATTTCACCTGTGTGTCGACTTGCACGCACACTTACGACCAAGGCATCACCTTCGGCGGCTTACTTTGATGTTACTCGCCAGACAGACCCCGCAATATCAACGTCACCGTCGAATATTACCCGGAAGCAACGGAATGCATTAGACTGTGCCCTTCGTGTTGACCAGGCGGGAGAGGTCGCAGCAAACTGGATCTACCGTGGTCAAATGGCTGTCTTGGGTCGAGATCTCAAGGCAGGCCCGTTGATTCAAGTATGATGAAGCTTTCCTTTCATAATTATCTTGCTTACGCATTCTGCACCAGGAAATGTGGGACCAGGAGAAGAAGCACCTTGCCGTTATGGATAAACTACAGGTACAGCATCGAATACGGCCTACAATATTATTAGATATAGCCAAGGTCGCTGGCTTTGGGTTAGGAGCTGTGACCGCGTTAATGGGCAAAGAAGCTGCTATGGCATGCACTGAGGCGGTAGAAACTGTCATTGGCGAGCATTATGATGAGTGAGTAATTTAAACTGTCCTTGCTGATACCGCTAACGATTCCTTCCCAGTCAACTCAGGGAGATGGTATCATTACCGTCTGACCACCCTAGCGTGCCTCTTCTAAGGGAAATCGTTCAGGAATTCAGAGACGATGAATTGGAACACCTTGATATTGCTGTTGAAAACCACTCGCAGCGCGCTCCAGCGC